CAGGGCTGTGGACCCCCGGCGCCGGGCTGGGGGGTTCGCTCCACCACCCTGCAGAGGCTGGGGGCCACCCCAAGGCTCCCCGGGTGTGGTGCTTGGGATAGGGCCGCTGTCCCCTGCTCTCACTGCGGATCTGTGCCTGGGGTGAGGAGCCATTCCCTGCCAGGCCTGGGGGCACCCGCCGGGGCTGCACCTGAGCTGGCCCCTGCTGTCCCCCCAGCTGGCCCAGAAGTACGACCCACAGAAGGAGGCTGAGCTGCGCACGTGGATCGAGAGTGTGACAGGGCAGCAGATCGGGCCCGACTTCCAGAAGGGGCTGAAGGATGGGGTGATCCTCTGCGAGTGAGTCCTGCACCGTGCTGGGCACAGCCCCTCAGCCCTCACTCCTCTTGGGTAGGGACGTGGGAGATCTGCATGGGAACCCCCCAGCCCTTCGAGTGGGAAGGATGGGCTGGATCCAGCCATGCCCATTCTGGTGGGATCCACTGGCTGGCTGCAGCCAGAGGTTTCCTTGGTAGTGCTGCTTGGGTCACCCCCACAGTGCCCATGTCAGGGGGGAGCGATGGGGGCCTGGCAGGGACCTGGGGGTGGGAATTACCTTCCCGAAAGGGGTCCATGCTGCCCAGCGGGGTCTTTGCCCTGCTGCAGCCCCTGCTCCCCCCTGCCTTCCTCCAGGCTCATGAACAAGCTGCAGCCCAACTCGGTGAGGAAGATCAACCGCTCAGCTCAGAACTGGCACCAGGTAAGTGCGGGCAGCCCTGCCTGCAACCAGCCCCTGCAGACCCCTGGCCCTGCCCAGGCCCCTTTGCTGCCACCCTCTGGGATCTTACCCTTCTTACCCCCACCCCCAGCTTGAGAACCTCTCCAACTTCATCAAGGCCATGGCCAGCTATGGCATGAACCCTGTGGACCTCTTTGAAGCCAATGACCTCTTTGAGAGCGGGAACCTGACGCAGGTGCAGGTGTCTTTGCTGGCACTGGCAGGCATGGTGAGTGCCTTGGGAGGGGACACAGCTTGCAGGGACTGGCTGGGCAAACCCCCCTCTTGGAGTGCTGCCTATGGGACCCTGCAGCTCCCCCTGTCCAGGGTGGGAGGGCTGGGACCCCCATCCTTTCTCACTACCCTTCCCTGGCAGGCCAAGACAAAGGGGCTGCAGAGCGGAGTGGACATTGGTGTGAAGTACTCAGAGAAGCAGCAAAGGAACTTTGATGAGGCCAAGATGAAGGCTGGGCAGTGTGTGATCGGGCTGCAGGTGGGCCAGGGTGATGGGTGAGGGGGGCCCAGTTTTGTCAGACCCTCAGAACTGTCACAGCTCCAGTCATGGCTGGGAGTACCCAAGGCTCAAGGTGCCTTAGATGTCCTCAGGATCTGGTACCATCTCAGCTCCATATCTGACCAGGAGCCCAGGCACCTGGGCTGGATCCAGGGGTGCTGGCTGAGCCCCTAGGGCTGCAGGGGGACAGGGAGGGAGGAGAAGAGGCATGCATAGGGCAGCAGTCAGTCCTCACCAGACCCCCTTGTCAGATGGGCACAAACAAGTGTGCCAGCCAATCCGGCATGACGGCCTATGGCACCAGGAGGCACCTCTACGACCCCAAGAACCAGATCCTGCCACCCATGGACCACTCCACCATCAGCCTCCAGATGGGCACCAACAAGTGTGCCAGCCAGGTGAGCCACTGTGGCTGGCGTGGGGAGGAACAGGGGAAGGACCATGGCTGAGCCTTGCTCCATCCTGTCCTTCCAGGTGGGCATGACAGCTCCTGGCACCAGGAGACACATCTACGATGCCAAGATGGGGACAGAGAAGTGCGACAACTCCTCCATGTCGCTGCAGATGGGCTCCAACCAGGGTGCCAACCAGAGCGGGCAGGTCTTTGGCCTCGGCCGCCAGATCTACGACCCCAAGTACTGCCCACAGGGCAGCCAGGGTGAGGCGGCCAATGCTGCCTGCGAGCAGAGCGGGGACCCCCCCGGGTACCACTACTACTGCCAGGAGGAGGAGGGCTACTGAGAGGGACATCACCCAACCCCATCTCGTGTACAGATCCCACTGCCAGTGACATTCCAACCTCTACTTTCAACATTCCCTCTTCACAAACTCTTTTTAAAAATTTTGAAATGAATTCTATTTTTCTGAGCAAGGAAATAAAGGCCCCGTTTCTAGAGCAGGGACCAGCTGGTTCCCGCACCTGCGGGAGCAGCCGCAGCTGGTTGATGCTCCAGCCCCACCCAGTGCCCAGCGGGGCAGTGCCAGAGCCCTGCCCAGGAGGGGGGGCAGCCCCCAGGGCTGCTGCTTGTCCCGTGCTGGTGGGACTCAGCTCAGCCCCTCAGAGGAGAGGGGCTTGGGTCGGTGGGTGCGCAGGCAGGAGAGACCCCCGGGAGTGGGGGAGCTCAGGGCGCTGTGGGGCCCCAGCCCGGGGATAGGCACTCTGAATGTGTGTGTGTGTGTGTGAGTGTGTGTGTGTGTGCAGCCTTGCACACTTGTGTGATCTTTCAGAACTCGTAGGGACCGAGTTCCTGAGGCCGCGGTGGTGACGCGGGGCTGGGCTGGGCTGTGGTACCGCTGGATGCAGCTCCCGGAGCCGCGGTCCGGGAACGACCGGGACGGCTGGAGCCGGGGTTGGCTCCGCGGGGCGGTGCCGGGGCTGCCCCT